ATTAGGTAAATAGGTTATCAACACATGATGTTGATTAGTGAACAGTCATGCTTTCCTGTTGAAAGAATAAAATTGAGTCTACCTTCTGGGCAATTTGGCGATAGGTAATAAGCACTTCTAGAAATTTTATATCCCTTACCCTTCTGGAAATATTTCCTAATGATATATTAGGAAATAATCAGAGATAAGGACAAATATTTTTATACAAGAATATTTGTTATGATCATATTACTAAAAATGAAAACTTAGAATCATCCTATAATCCAATAACAGGAAATTTGTGAAATAAATTATGGTGCATCTATGTGATATATTATACGGTTGTTAAATGTTCACAATATAACATTATTTGAAAAATGAGGCAAAATTGTATTTACAGTGTGATTTTTGTTATTGTTCTTGAACACACACACATCCTTAGAAGGGCTCATACAAAACCTTTGAGGTTATCTTTGAGTGATGGATTATAAGTGATTTTATTTTTTGTTTTCTATAGTTTTAAAATTTCCTATAATGCATTTGCATTACTTTAAAAAATAAGTAATATTAAAACAATGAAAATATTTAAAACTTCAGTCATTAGATACCATTTCATATTCATTATTAATGTCGATTTAAAATTCTATAATCATGAAATAACCTTAGCCACAATCTTACAGACTCTTAATCAAAGGTAGTTTATTGATCCATAGAATGTGTAGTGGATGGAGTCATAAATACCTTTCAATCACATAAGTTATTTGGCTCATGGCATTTTTCATGATTAATCCAATGGGAAAAGTCTGATTTAGCCCAAAGCACTAATCTTATTAGTGACAAACAGCTCCTAATAAGGATGGATTGGAGAGGTGAAAATGAGGGCAAGTTTGGGGATTTACCTTCACTGAAACTATTTTCTTTGAGGGATTGGTTATTTGATCTGATTTCATTTACGTCAGATGGCTGAACAAGTCACTGCACAGGTATGTTTGGGAGGGAAGGGGTTAAGCCCAGAAGCAGTGCTTGATTTCAGATCTGTTGTGAAATCACTTATCTCTTGGGTTGCTGACAGCAATAAACATTTCTTAAATACTCCAGGGAATGAAAGTAAGTTGTCTTCCAGTGAGAATGTGGCAGAGGAAACCTGGTTATTTCTCTATCTTCATTCAGATGAATGTTTGAGTTAAAAAAAAAAAAGACCCCAAACCAAAACAGATCAAAGTCACCCTTTAAGTTTATCATACATCTGTACCTGGTGTGTGGCCCTAACTTCCAAGGTGACCTAAGATACTTATTTTGTAAAATAAAGTTCAAAAAGGCAAAGATATCATTGACTTAGACCAAACACCCAATACCTCCTGCAAATGGATGGTCAACAGGCATTGACACACATCCCTTATTTTGACCAGGAAGGGGTCGAGTTATTCTCAAGGTTAAGTAAAGGTCATCTCTCTCTGCCAACTGCCCCTCAGTGGTGATGGAAAAGCAAAGGCTGAGGTTGGGTGCCTGGAAATTTCACTTAAGAAACAAATGGCCCCAGTCTGTCTGTTCACTGAGGTCATTTCTATTAGTTTTGCCATGATTGTATTAGATCAGCAGTCAAGTGAAATGCAGATTCATCACTGAGAGAACGTCTGCCCTGGGCTGACAGTTCTTTCATCGGTGTGCCTTTGTGGCCAGGGCCATTGCTTCTAATTGCCTTCTAACCCTGCAGCCGGTCATCTGTCTTTCACATTAGATTTAACCTTCCCATTAGATGCTGAGGGGGAATTTGGTCTGGAGACACTATTGGACTAGTTTCACACACGTTAGTAACTTCAGAGAAAAAAAAAAATCTTAAGAATCATCAAAATTTGAAAATAGAAAGCAAACAATGACTTCCTACTAATTTAAAGTTGTTAGAAGACCGCCACAGTGACAATTCTGATTTAGGTCCCTCAAGGATTTGACTCATTAGAATATGGAAAAAAAGTGTACACTTCTCTCATGGCATCTTCCAAACGATTTAATTGTAAGTCTGATGATGATCTAAGACAGGAGCCTGGGAACCTTCTTTCATTCACCAACTATACGAGGGTATACTTAGTTCCTCTGTGCCAGGAACAGGGGACCCAAGATGAACCAGGGTTCTCCAGGGACGCAGAACCAGTAGGAGCGTGACTGTGGAGGCTGAGCAGGGCCACGCCCCATCTGCTGTAGGCCGCAGAACTAGGAAAGCAGCCTGAGTAGCAGGAGCTTCGACGTCAAAGGGCAGGAGGAGGCAGGTGTCCCAGCCCAGGAGGAGTGAGTTTGCCCTTCTTCTGCCTTTTTGTCCTACTTGGGCCTCAACGTATTGGGTGATGCCCACCCAGCGGGGAGGGCAGACCTTCCTTACCCAGTCACCGATTCAAATGCCAGCACCCTCACAGACACACCCAGAAATCATGTGTTACCAGCTACCTGGGCATCTCTTAGCCCAGGCCAGCTGACCTGTACAATTACCTATCCCACCAGTAAAAGCGTAGTGCCCAGCGTTAGTGAGTTACAGGGAGTGTGTAAATTGATATAAGCTTTTTAGAGATCAGTCTGGAATCATGTATTGAGTGTCTTAAAAACGTTCGAGCCCTTTGACGCTTAATAATTCCAATGTTAAGGAGCCTCACCCAGGGACATCATTTCACAGAGATGATTTTATCCACAAAGGTGTTTGCTGTCTCATCATTTAAAATAGAGGAAAGCAGACAACCGCATGGCCAGCGGAAGGCAGCCCTTGTCCTCCACATGCTCTGCCTCAGCGGTGGAAGCCTTCTGCTTTCCTGGGGAAGGAGCAGGAGACACTGCCGCCCTTCTCTCCCCCCTGCTCCAGACACTCAGGGGAGTCATGTGACTTCTCAGCCGGGTGAAAATGGGTAAAGGTGACTCACTGCGCTGTCTGCTCTCTGCCGGGACCTCCCGGGCTGCACCCGCCACATCCTCTTGTGCGTGCAGCTGCTCGGGCCAAGCCTCCAGATCTGCAGGCCCAGCCTCCTCACATCAGATTTAGGGGACAGAGCCTGGTTTCAGCTTGCGAACATGCCAACCCACGGCGTGTTAACTGGGAACAAGGACGTGGGCTGGGCGGGCCTCCTGCGGTGGCCTCGGCGCTGATACAGGCCAACTCCCAGCTGCTTCTAACACTTGGGAGCCATATAAACGGGCGTTATAACTCAAGTGGGCCCTGCTGGCTGACTACGGCATGAGCAGTGTGGCATGTGAGTCACTGGGAGGCTTGGGCTGGCGTCATCGATCTCTGTGACTGTGACCGCTACCAGCAGAGCTTGGGCTCTCTGGATCTGTAGAAATGGCCCGAGACAGGTATTTTATTCCTGGAGAGGGTTCCCCGCTGCCTCACGTGAAACAGGTAGAGATCCTGCCCACACACAAACTTGTTCGAGAAATACAGGGCCGGGGACACGCCCGGGAAGAGGACCAGCAGACTCACGTCACCTGTCTCGCGCATACTGAGCAGATACCTGATTATGGAAATGGAAGTCTTAGTATTCCCACTTACTTAAAATTATTAATTTATTTTCCTTATGGAAGGCGTAGTTAAGTGTGCGTTCAGTTAAAATGTGTGACTCCACTCATTTAGGGTGTCAGAGGTAGAAGCCCTTGCTGCTAGGTGAGCTTAGCTTTGGCCCTGAGGGCCCGCTGCGAGTATACTCTTGCAAAGTTCTTTGTGACTTGCTTTTGGAAAACTTATTTCTAAGCTTCTTCCTCCTACAGGAGACACCTCCAGGTGTTAGTGAGGTGGTGTCATTCCAACTCATGTAACAAATCTCCTCCCCCTCTATGCACTTCTCCAAACACTGTCTTTCAGTAAAGGCACCACCATCCACTCGGTTCCTCAATCCAAACACCTCGGAACGACGCTCGATCTCCACTTCCCCCAGCAGCCTGTCCACGCTGCACCACTGAGCACCCACCCATCAGCTGTGCCTCCGTGGAAGGCGGCCCCTCCCAGCCCCCTGCTCCCCTCCGCCCTAAGGGGCAGGTCCTGCGGGGACTCACACAGCATCCTCCTGACCGGCCGCCTTCCTTCCACTTCTGCCCAGCCCCCAACACTCCCTTCCATACCCGTCCTCTGTCCTCCCTCCCCCCGCCAGTGGCTTTTTAAATTCATGAACCAGGCTATATCACTCCTTTCCTTAACGCTTCCCAATAGCTTGTTATCTCCAGTGCCTCAAACTCATCATTTACTAGACTTCCCGGCCAGGGCCGCGCCTCTCCAGCCTCACCCCAGACTGCTGCCCTCCAGCGGTGCGCTCTAGGCACCCCTGCGCCCACCCCGCCGGCCTGTCCTTAGGACACACGCAGCTCTTTCCCACTGAGAAGCCTGTGTCTCAGCTGCTTGGAAGACCACCCTGCCCCAGCTACCTTTACAGGACTGGCTCCGCTTTTGCTGACCAAATCTCAGACTCAGCTGCCTCTCACTGAGCAGCCTATCTGACCGCTCAGTCATCTCTTTGCTTTTTGGAAAATGACGCTATCTTCATGCTCTCCGTGGCCTCTGCACAAAAGGTGTTTCCTTATCTATTTGCTTGGCCGATCTCCATCTGCCTCTGAAATGCAGGCTCTTTGAGAACCTTATCATCGCAATATCCTCAGTGCCCAGAAAAATACCTGGTCCATGGTGAGTAGTCAATGTAACATTCGTGTCGCAGACATGAATATGATGACAAGGACACACGCATTAGATGTGCCCACCCTGCGGTCTGAGTTTGAGTCCTGGGCCGCGAAGAATAAACAGCAGGGAAGACACGATCACTCTCTGAAAATGACAACACGAAGGGCCCTCTGCAGGGACTTCTTGCTTCTACTGATGCTTATTTTTTAAAATGTCTGCTATATGGTAATGCAGTATTTTATTTATTCTGTCCATTCATAATTAATATTTGAGAACATCAACAATATTAATGGAATTTAATCTAAGAGAAGTTCAACCTACATTTTTCAAAATATTGCAGTACCGGTACCAATAAGAGAGATAACTGTGGTCAGAATTACTTTGTCCGAACTTTTAATAAATGTTGGAAGGTAGTCTACAACACATGCAGTTCAGTTTTGGGCGTAAAGCTCTTTGGATTTGAGGAAGAACATTCGGTTCACTTCACTAATAGGGACGTCTCTCAGCGCTGGGATGGCCTCCGCCTGGTGCTTCTTCTGCTGCTGGTTCTTGGCGTAGTTATCTGCAGGGAGGGGACAAAGGCTCTGACTGCCCAGCAACTTCCTCCACATCTCTGGGGCTTATGGAGACCCACTGCACTGCTTTACCGGGCTAATGTTTGGATAATGACAGATACCACGTTTAAATAGAATTAAAAGATCATTTATATTCTGTCTTTAAAAGAAATGTCCCAGTTAGAACAGACATTATTATAGTAGTTTTTCGCCTGCATAAGAAATTATTTCATTCATCTGTACAATGATAATTAAAGTCCCACTGGCATATTTCTCATAGGAACAGAATTCCACTCAGGCTTAGAAAATATATTTAAATCAACACCCAAAAACTATTAAGTCATTTGATACGATCATTCATACAAACATAACACTTTCCCTCTCTGCACTAATTGTCTATTTGCCATAATTCCGGTCAAGAAGGCTAGGAATACAGTAGGTTATCAGAAAGGAAATATAAAAATACTGTAATTGATTTTCAAAATACATTGTATAGGCTCACTAAAAAAGGACTTTGAGAAGTTAAAAAATCATACCTGGGAACTTAAGAAATATTTCACTTCCTAGAATCTAAACGAGCTTAGGAATCTGCATAAATTACTTTAATCTTTAGACTTCAAAAAAACAAAACTGCCAAAACGTGCTGTGGCCTGTCTACCCCTCGCTGGGGTCAGGTGTACACGGTGACCCCGAGGGCGCACGCCCCCAGTCCCTCCCCCGGACACATTCTGCGTGGCCTACGTGCCATCCCGCCATCTACAGGGCCTGTTTAGGATAAAGGGAGTTTCTGTCCGGCAAAGGTGCCCAGCAACATGCTCTACACTCCTGGTTTTTATGTGCAAATACACCTGTTAACTCGTGCCGTGCGCAGCATGCTCGTCAGAACTTACTTCCCATGGACGCCTTCCTCTGCTTTACCGCTGCAGTGTCCCTCCCAAGTTCTTTTCACAGTGCCACCGTGTCACTCAGGGCAGCCCGCCCTGGGTAAAAGCGCCGCGAGCCCAGCCCTCCGTCGCCCGCACCTCGCATCGGTGGACGTTTACCTGTGATGGTATGGATGGAGTTGAGGGGCGAGGTGTCCATCATGTTGACTCCGAACAGGAGCACATACCCGATGACTACAGTGATGAGGAGGTAGATGGGCAGGGCGACTGCCCAGTACCTGCAGGAGAGAAAACGAAGCGGGCAGCAGACGTCCCCGGAGGTGTAATTCCTACAAGTCTGCCACTAGTTAACATCACTCAAAAATTTTAATGTCATTGAAGTGATACACGTACATGAGACAGTTCAGCAAGGCTTGTCATGAGAAGCTGCAACCTGCATCCCACCCGTCTCGACGCCAGGGTCTCACCCCCAAAAGGGACCTGGGCGCCTGAGCTGTTTCTTCCGTACTGACCTCTGCATTTGCACAAAAACATGCTCACGTTATAATGGTTTTTCAATCGCAGACATTCACTCTGCGCTTCCTAAGGGGCAGATGAGGAATTGAGCTCTTTTGCGCTCTTACCTGCCTCCCGTCCTCTTACTAGACTTACATCACAATTTCTGGGCATATCCAGTTTTTAAAAACTATTGTGACTGTATAAATGATGCTTGCCACTGAGCGCCTTGGTCTTGTTATATTTGTTCTTATACAATTTTTTCTTTGCTTTTTCTGGAATTAGTAACTCCATCTTTTTGTGTGTTTGCTTACTTTCCACATACCTACCAGCCCTCAACCCCAGAGCCTCCGGGAGGGCGCCAACGGGCCCTCAGAGCAGCGAGCGCATCGGGTGATGGCAGGCGGGGGCTCGGGCACGGTTTAGTCGGTCAGTCACTTTCGCCCCACTGTCTGTCTTCTCTCTCTGGACCTTCTAGGAGCTAAGATTTTTCGCCCTGGTATACTTTCCTCATCTTTCCTCTAGTTTCCATTTTTCTGTCTTCTACTTTCTGGAGGTTACCTTTGGTTCATCTTTTAACCCATCAATTAAAATTTCAATTTTGGCTATCATATTTATCATTTTCAAAAACAGCAGCAATTCCTTAAACATTCCATACTTTTTATAGCGTTCTGTGCTTGTTTCATAGTTATTTTCTTGTTCCTTCCATTAGCTCCTTTTCCTTCAAGTTCCTTTTTTCTTTTGGGTTTCATTTTAAAGGTTTTTAGAAAACGTCTGGTAAGTCAGAGTTGCCCACTCCGGTTTAAAGGTGAAGTGCTAACGAGGTAACTGGGAGCGCTGTGTATACGTGGGCCAGGGTGGCGACCTGGCAGGTCTCGCTCCGGGAGCCCCGGCCTTTTCACTGGCGGACCTCCAAGGGTCAGAGACCGCATGTCCCTTCTCCGGCGCTGCCTCGGGGGACAAGCCAGCTTCTGGTTTTGCTGGGAGAAGCAGAATGCGGGAAGCTGGCAGCCTCAAGCCTGGGAGCAGCGTGAGGAAAGCTGCTGGGGGAACCTTATCTTTCAGGAACGCGCGGATTCCCACGGATTTCCCTGGTGTCGGTACGGTGCCCCCTTCCCGTGCTCAGTTAGACTTAGCGTCTGCAGACTCATTCAACCTTCCAGAGTAAAACTCCCATCTTCTGCAGGGGAGGACGGTTGGTCTCCCTGCTCTGGGGGCCGAGGAGGGGGATTTGAGAGTCTCATGCCCTTTAAACACTGTTTTCAGCCCAATCCAGAATTACCGTGTTAAAGAGGTACCTGGTTTGTCCAGTTTCTGAGCCTTTCTCTTGGCCTAGGGCACAAATATTCTTGCCGGCTTCCCTATCTCAGCAATGTGAAAAAGTGGAAATTAAGTCAGTCATTTCTCACCTTTCTACAACCCCCAAATTTGGCTGATACCTTTTACCTGCTATTCCATTATTTGTTCCTGTAGATTTACACCTTAAAAAAAAATTTTTTTTCCCCTACAGAGTTACTTTAGCAAGATGTTGGGAGGAAATGGAGACAAACATGTGCATTGAATGAATCATTTTTCATTAGAGGTGTGTCAATAATGACCTTTTAAAAGCTTTAAATTTCTATATGGCAATGTATTTTTAAGAAAAAATCTGATCCTTCAAAACAGCATTAATACACCCTTATTTTATTTAAGCAATATGTTAAACTTACTTTTGAGGCCAATAGGTTAAGCCTACGGCGTTGAGCCAAGATTCGGGAATAAAAGCCCACACGAGGTACAGTACTGTGAAGAGAGGGAAGGAGGGTCAGTGAGGCGCAGGCACGGGGCTCCGGCCGAGCGCCAAAGCTCCCGCGCAGCTTCCCTGGTGCTCTCAGAAATGGCTGTCCTGTCCTTCCGGTTCTCCTGGCTCCTTCTCTGTACACGTATCATAATTACTTTCTATCTTTTCATTGTGGTAAAAAACCAAACCAACCAGGAAACTTATAAAACTTAAGCCTTTTTAAGTGTACAGTGCAGCAGTGTTCAGGTATATTCATATTGCTATGAAACAGGTCTCCAGAACATTTTTACCTCACAAATACCCATTAATCAACAACTCCGCTTCTCTCCATTAATATTTTTTGACATGTCTTAACTCTGCCACCCTATCTTAAGCAACTGAAGGTAGCAATTTTTGTAAGTCTTACAGCACCCAGTGATTTGCTCTACACACAGTAGGTGTTCGACACTTCATCCCCACAGGGTTGAAGCCATGACAGCCGTTTCGTCGCCCAGGAGAGAATCACTCGACCCTCGCTCCGCCCCCTGATGCCGGGCTTCGGCCTCACCTCCCAGAACACAACCTGAATTCCCTCAGTCCAAGTCTCTGCGGCAACGTGCCCGGTTGCCCGTGTACGTGGCAGTGAACCCGTGAGCGCTCCCTGTGGGGTAAGCGCACCTCCAAGCACCTCCCCTGCATCGGTCCACTCCACCCTCAGGACCATCCTAGGAGGCATCAGGTCGTTTTTACAGATGAGGAAATGGAACCTTAGAAATGTCACATCATCTGCCCAAGGTAAATAGCAGAGACAAATTTCAAACTACCTGTATCGATGATGATGAAGGAATACCATTTTCCTCAACAAATATGCAACGTGCAGTTTTGTAGGTCAGAAATGTGAGGTACAAAAGTGAACCCAAAAGAGAGGGCCTCTGCCTTCCCTGCACTTAAAATCTAGCGGGACAGGAGATGAGTAAATTGGTGTTTTTAAGACACTGTGACAAGCGCTAATGAGCGAGTAATAAAAGATGATATAGGACCACCAAAGGAGGACCTCGGGCCTAGCTGAGTGGCTCAGCTGGTTAGAGTGTCGTCCTGATATGCCAAGGTCGCAGGTTCGGTCCCCGGTCTGGGCACATACAAGAATCAACCGATTAAAGTATATAAATAAGTGGAACGACAAATTGATGTTTTTCTCTCTTTCTCAAATCAATTTAAAAAGAAAAAGAAAAAGAAAAAGAAGGACCTCAGCCCACACTGGTGGTGATGCAGTGGATGTTAATGGTCAGGAAAGATTTCCTGGAGGAAGAGACTAAATTGGGGCCTGAAGGATGGATAGAGGGTTAGCTTGATCAAAAATGCTGTAGATAAAAGGACATAAGAGGAAGTGGTGTTTCCCCACCATGATCCACAGAGACAGACAGACCAGCACAGCTGGACAGCGGAGGGCAAAGGGGGCAAGAAACGGGCTTGAAGTTTGAGATTGTTTGTCAGTTAATAAAATACAAATAGTGGGGAAACATAAAGTCATAAATGGAAATAATTTACTTAATTAAATAAGCATTTATTGAGCATCTACTATATACCAGGCACTAAATAAAGGTCCAGGCTACACAGAAAAACAACACATGGCCCTTTTCCCACAAACCCGTCCAGGAGACAGGTGTGAGTCCAGCGCAGTGGCAGGAGCCTCACAGGCACTCCCTTACGAGCCCCTTCAAACCCTGCCGAGGTGTGCGCCACTCTTCCTAATTCACAGATGAAAAAACAGAGACTCAGGGAGTTTAAGTTGCCCAAGATCTCAGAGTTAAAAGGGACTGTGCTGGAAGGAGAGAGCCAAGCAGTGTGTTCCCATGTCCCACTCTGCTTTCAGGCAGCAGCAAAAGCATGAGTAGAAACACAGAGGCGAGCAGTCGGGGCAAAGCTCTTGGCCGCTTAGAGGGGCTGGGACATACAGCACAGGCTGTGTGTGTTGAGAAATAAAGCTGGAAAAAAGCGGGTCCTAGAATATGAAAAAATCTTGTGCCAGGAACACAGAATTTACGCTGCAGGCAAGAGACAACTGGATAACCTGTTCTTACTTTCAAAGAGATAGTGAAGGACAAAAAGAAAACCACGCGTGCTCCAGCCAGAGGTTTTAGGCGGGGGAGTTCCGGCCTGTGGCTCCAGCGGGCTGCAGATGGTACGCCGAGGCCACATCTGCGTTAGGGCAGAGGCGGCGAGAAACCCGTCAGATGCAGCGGCAGGCGCGGTGGGTGAGGGGAGAAGGAAACGTTCACGTGAAGAACGACTCCCAGGTTTCTGGAATAGGTGTCTAGTAACTGCAACTCCAAAGAAAGCATACTTGGTCAGTTGTGTTCCACACAGCAACAAGTGACCTTGCAGAAATACACATCTGACCGTGTCACTTGCCTGCTCAAACCCTTCAGTGCCCTTGGAGTAAAACCCAAACTCATGGGCAGGGCGTGCAAGGACCTAAGCGACCTGGCTGCTGCCCGCAGCTCCCACCTCTAGTCCTGGGGCACCTCGTGCCAGCGCCCCAGAGTCTCAGGGCCGCCGCGCTGGCAGTGAGCACGGCCTGCCTGGAGTGCTCGCCCCTTGGCCCTTCCAGCAGACAGCTCCTTCTCCTCCTTCTGTCTTAGCTGAGATCCCGCTTTCTCAAGGGAAGCTGTCCTGGCTAACTTGCTCTTCCAGCTGTGTCTCGCCCACCACGTTCTCATTGCTCCTATCATTTCCCCTTATTTCCTTCAAAGCTATTATCATTTTCTGTAGTTACTGCTATGGACGGAATGTGTGCCTCCCTCAGGTTCATATGGCGGAGCCCTGACCCGCAACGTGGTGGTATTTGAAGGGAGGGTGGGCAGGGAGGGAGGTGACGACTTCATGAGGTTGGGGCCCCCACGATGGGATTATTGTCCTTTTAAGAAAAGAAGAGAGACCCAGAGCTTTGCTTTCCTGTTCTCTCTCTCTGTCTTCCCCCAACCCGCCTCCCCCCCCCCCAACCACCTTGCACTCTCCAGCTTCTAAAACTGTGAGGAAAAAACTGTCTATAGTTCAAGCCACTCAGTCTATAGTACTGTTATAGCTACCTGGGCAGGCTAAGAAAATTACTCTGTTTTTAAATCAGGAAAAATTTCAACGAAGACAATTCTGTAATCCTCCTCTACTTCCCCCTGCCCCTGACCTAGTTGTATCATAACTGCTGTGTACTGACGTCTGACTCTCTATTTCCTGCCTCACTTTCCCAGGCTTTAATCTGACTGACCCCCACGTGTCCCCTGAACCCACAGGCGTGCGTCTTCCTGAGGGCCTCGACGCTGGTTATTCTCTGCTTGGGATCTCGCTCAGCTCCAACCCAGAACCTGGCCTGCAACCCAGGCACGTGCCCTGACCGGGAATCGAACCAGTGACCTTTTGGTCTATAGCATGACATGCAACCCACTGAGCCACACCAGTTGGGGCCACACTTTTACATCTGTGCTTAAACCTCATTGCTCAGCAAGGCACTTCCAGACTGCTGTATTTAGAACAGAGACCACCTCTCCCTCCGATATCCCCCTTTCTTGCTTACTGTCTCTCCATAGTACATTATCCTCTGATATGGTATATGTTTTATTTACTTAACTTCGCTCATTGGCTTTCTTGCTCCACTAGAATGAGAACTCTGTGAAAGCAGGAAATGTTGGCTGTTTGCTTGTAGCCTATAGCAGGGCTCTCAAAAAACTGTTGAATTAATTTTTGTTGGGGGCATTATTAGACTTAAGTCTTAAAGTCATGGCTTTTATTTTTTTGTACAGTTTCTAGTCCTTCAAATTCACTGTAGAACAGGAATTTACAAAAGTATATTAATGGTAATAACAGCAGCTAATATTTATTAGTGCTCAGTGCTCCTATGCATTGTTCTAAGTGCTCTGCATAAATTACGGCAATGAATCCTCCCAATAGCCAGAAGAGACAGCCAAGTGGAGACAACCCAGTGTCTGGGTTCAAGTTCTAGCTCTATCATTTACTGCCTGCAAGACCTTGGGCACGTTATTTTAACCCCGTATGCCTCAGTATTCTCACCGGTACAATGAGGACACTGATAACAACATCCACCTTACAGGACTGCCTTGTGAATGATGAACAAGGAATAAACGTTATCACCGGCCTTTTACGCCTGAAGAACCTGAAGTCTCAAAGAGGATAATTCAACGGTCCCAGACCACACAGCTCCCTGGTGGAAGAGCCACGCTGTGATCTCAGGGTAGAACTTCACTCCAAAGCCTCCCCTAGCAATGGCTTGGCTGGCTATACTGATGCAGTGAAAGTTCACACCCGTACCTTTGTACTTTCCACCAAATTCCAAAAAGTTGGGTGGTGGGTACCCAATTTTCTCCCTATTGACCTCTCACAATTCTCAAATCCTTTCGCGGAGAGATGGGGGGGAGGGACTGCTGTGTGACTCTGGCTATTAGCGGCGCCCCGAGCATCAGTTTATCTGTAAAATGGAATCTTAGAGGGATGGCGTGAGACCCAGGATGCAAAGCGCACCTGACTTCTCTCGCCTAATTCCCTTCACTCACTAGCTCCCATACGCAGCGCTGGAGCCTCTTCCAAAGCCTTCGCGCGGGGCCTTCCCACTTCTCCCTCCTTAGGGTGGGGAAGCTAACTGATCTCACGCCCCTCCCCTGGTCTCCCATGGCGCTGATCGCACTGAATGTTAGCTGCAGATTTACTTGTGTGTCTTGCCATAAGACCATGACCACAGGCACTAGGCTTTAGTCACTCTGTAATCCTTCCTGGTGCAGGATAAATACTTGTTGAGATGATATCTTTCAGGCTGGTAACTGGCACATAGAAAGCCTCCTTCAGGCTTTCTTCAAGAGACATAGGTATAAAGAATCGTAATTCATGGGTGCACATCCTAATAACAAACGCAATAATTTCATTATCCTTGAACACCAGAAAAAGGCCACGGCCTTTTCCATCAGGAAAGTACTTACTGAAGCCAAATTGGGAGCTTAAGAAAAGAACAAAGCCATAAATCGCTCTTTCTGGCAATGGTGACGGTGAATTTTCCACCATCTTCCCTGCGGCTTTGAGACAACCTGTGGGAAAGAAGCACAATCGCCATCAGTGATGTACTCCCCTGATTGGTCTGTTATAACCTCATCGCTTTGCTACGGGCACAGCCTCTGCAGTGGTTTTTCCAGCCTACACCACAGCGAACAGCCATCCTGCGCACACACTTCCAACACACGCACACTTGCACGCGCGCACACCAGCACCCACGCCTAGCCTGCACGCGCACACCAGCCCCCGAACCTCGCGTGCACGCGCCCGTGCACACACGCCGGGGCGCGCACACCCAGCAGAAGAGAGGAGGAGACGGCCGGGGAGAGGAGGGGAGGGAATCGATGGACACCCCCCTTCGTGTCTGCAGGCTTTGCCTTCCTGGGGGAACGGCAGGGGACGGCAGTGCGGGAACAAGCCCACGCGGGCGGCTAAAACCCAGCCCTGCCCTTTAGGGGGAGGGGAGAAGGGGCTTCAGTTTCTAATTCGAGGTCAAGGTGGCCCTCAACCTTGAGTCCTTCAAGCACCCACTTGGGCCCCTCCCAAAAGCTCGGCCACCTTAGCGAGGAGTCCCCTGGGCAAGCGCCGACCTCCAGGAGCTGCAGGGAGGAGAGAAAGGAAAAACTGAGAAGCCGAGGGGCGACGGCGCCCCCCAGCCGGGCGCAGGCGCACCGCGACCCTCCCGCGGTCTAAACGGGCAATCGCTGGGGCCGGCGAAGAGGCTCCCTAGCCCTCCGCGTAGGAGGGGGCAGGGTGGCGCGACAGCGCATGTGCGCTGCGGCCCACGTGATGCTCTGCTGCCCGCGCCGCCGCGCGCTCCCACCCGCGCAGGGTGACGTGGAGGGCCCGAGGCGGCGGCGGCGGCTGCGGCCGCCCGCGTCCGAGGCTCGCGGGCTGCGGGCCCGGGTGAGTGCGCACCTGGCGCGTGGCAGGGCTCCTGGATGTGTCACCTTGTCGCGCTGCATCCGAGATGACCGGGGAGAGGGGCCCTCCACAACCCCTCCGTGGGTGTGTGGTGAGTGTGGGTGTGTGTGCGTCGCCTGCTGTGGTGCCCGCGGTGTGTCCGCGTGGGATGGTGTGCCTGTGCGCAGGAGGTGTGCGGCCACTTTTGTCCGCCCAAGTGGGTGTGTCCCTTTTGTCAGGTGTCCTCCCTCTGCAAGCCTCGGCCCCTCCCGGTGTCTGCGAGAGTGAGAGTAGTCTCTTTGTGTGCGCATTCCCTGGCCGCCTGCGCACCCTCGTCTTGAAGGTGACACCGCTGCTCGGCGAGGGGTCCTTCGGCCCCAGCGCGCTGGCACGTGCCCGTGTGTCGCCTCCTGGCCTACTTGTGTCCGCGCGGGTTCTCCCCAGTGACGGCGTGGGTGTCCCCGGCTGATGTGGGTGGTCTTCCCTCTGTGTCACTGCCCCTCTCCGGGGGTGGGGGGGATGCGCGTCCCCCGGGCGCGTGGCCGCACGTCCTGCAGTCTTAACCCCCGCCTGCAGCATCGCCCGCCCGAGTGTGCGTTCTTGCGTGTCCCCTTGCGCGTGCCGCGCCTGGGTCCTGTTGAGTGCGTGATCCGTGTGCTTGCGGATGTTCGTGAACGTTCTGTCCTCTTTGTTTTGTGTTAACTGCGTCTGCGCCACCCGTTTTCGTGACAGTGGCAGCCAAATCCAGGCCGGCGCCTTCCGTCCCCAAGGAGGGCGAACAGGGGAGGGGAAATGAACCCTCGGGGGCCCACCTCCCTGACGCCTCTCCTGAGCATCCTCCACTTCCACCCCCCACACCCATGGCTAATGGCGGGGGGCGGGTAAGGGTGGGGGCGAGGGAGAGGCTGACCGCAGCGGGTTTAGGCAGCTGCTGCGTAGTATTTTTTCGACGTCCGGTGTGGCCTGTCGAGCCAGCATGTTCACAAGGAGGGGGCCAGGGACCAACGCTGGAGCCGAGGTGGAGGTGAATTTGGGCTGGTACCAGCGGGTGCCTTTTCCAGAGGCGCCCTAAATCCCCAACGCCCCTCGATTGCAGACTCCGAAATTTGCAGAATCAATACATTCTGGCCAACCCTGGCGTTCATCACACTGAACATACAGTGTTTTATGGCGTTCACATAAATTCTCTCCATTCTGCCCAACATCCTGGCGAGGGAAACAAAGCAGACGTTTCACAGATTTATTACTCCCCTGGGAGCGGTTTCCACGTAGTTACAGCTGCAGCTAGGACATTTTTTATTAAAAGAAATTTGCATTTTATCTTAAGGGAAGTGAGATTTATTGCAAGGATGCACAGGGAAAGAAACTTCAAACCCTTAGGGGCCCAGCAGCTGCTCCTCTTGTGCCAAAGGTTCATGCTCTGCGCTCGATCGAGGGCTGCGTTTTGCTGTGTTTCTTCATTTGCTCAGTTTTCTTACTCTTGCCTAATATTCCTTTTTTCTTTTTAATTTCTGGCATATTTCACATATGCAATACACACAGTGCAATACAGTCCAGAGGGGCATCTCACCAATTCATGACTCAGATTTACAGATGTAATAATTTTGCCAAATTTACTTCAGATCCTTTTATTTAAAAAATAAAATTGTAGGTGTTGGAGGGGCTCTCAGTTCCTCCCCCTCCTTCCCTACAGGTAGCCACCTTGTTTCCATTTGTGTCATCATTCCCTTGCATCCATAAACAATAATACAGTGTTGTGTTTTTAAACTTTAATGATATGAAGAAAATGTCTTTTTGCAACTTGCTTTTTTTCAATCGTTACATTTGAGATTTATAAACAAATAAATTGGAAAATTGTGTTGTCTTTGATTCATTCATTTTAATTGCTGGTATAGAATACCATTGTATGAATATACCATTATTTACTCACCCATTTATTTATTGATGGACTCTGAGGTTGTTTCTGGTTTTTGGCTCTAAAAACAAACCCGCAATAAACATCTTTGTATTTGTTTGCTTGTGCACAAATTTGGAAGTTTCTCTAGGAAATAACACCTAGTAGTAGATTTGCTGGATAGCAGGGTATGTGCATCTTCAACTTAACCAAATATCACAGAAGCTGTCAAAACGGTTGTACTGATTTTGACTCTCACTGGCATCGAATGAGGACACATTTTCTCACATCCTTGCTAACAGTTTATGTTACCACACTTGTACATTTTTGCCTTCCCCTTCCTGACTAGCTTCTTTGTAACTTAAGCTGGTGGCTAGATTTGGCCTCTGCTCCAGCGTGTGTCAGCCTTTGGGTTTCTCTCTCACAGCTCATGGGCTCGGTCGTTACCGCGTTTGGTCCTCATAAAATTAATTCCAATAAACATTTATTTTGTACCTGTTGTATGTCAGTTCCTATGGTTGATGTAAAGGTAGTAATTTCCACAGTATAAATACCTCTCAAGCAGCAGGTGATACAATTTAATTACTTTTCACATACGATGAATTGTTCTGAAAAATATTTTTCTCTTTATTTAATGTAATATATGATACATTCAAAATATATGTAACCTATTTACATTGTGAAACGAAACAATAAAACAAACACCTGTCAATCCACCATCCATTCCAAGACACAAAATGACCAGTACAGATGTGCGGACTCCAGAGTTGCTGCTCTCCTGAATTGCGTGTCATTCGTTGCCTTTACAAAATAATTTTATCAGATATGTACACATTCCTCAACAATGTATGGTTTCTGCTGTTTTTGACTTTTTTAAAAAAAATAATGCATACAGTCTTCTGGGTTCACTCAATGTTATGCATTTAAGGGTCACTCATACTACGCATAGATTTGTCATTAATTTTCTTCACTGTGGAATGTTCCATGGGTGAATATAACACAGTGTATGCGTTCTTCTGTTGATGGGCTTTTTTTTTTTAGGTTTTGCTGTGTGTGAAGATTCTCGCACACACCTTCTGGTTCACAGTGGCAAGAATTTCTCTAACTTTCACACTGGGTGCTTGACCCCCAGGGCAGTGATGACGATTTTTCTAGGGGGGTTACTTGGGCACACGTGATACTCATGGGTCAATTTACAGATAAGTGTCACATGCGCGCTCCTGAAATTGGTGTTGCCCGAAGGCCTACGATAGAGGCCCCCCGCCTTCTGGTTCCAGTTCCCCGCCTACCCTTTGACGATAGCCCTCCTGCCTTAGAGGAGGAAGGCACACCCGCCCCCCGGACTCGTCCGGGGGCACTGCCCTGAGTGGGAAGACTCCACAGAACACACAGGGATAATTCCAAATGCGGTGTTTAGGGCTAGGTAAAGCCCCTTCCACTCCAGGCACTCCCCACCTCCGCAAGAGCTGCGTTCCAGAAAACGTAATTTTTTATGTCTAACTGTCAGCAAGTATAGTTATTTTTATCACTGCTCTAATAGTTATAACCATTTAAACCAATGGTATGTCACTTTTATTTTAAAATGTCACTGTGATACTCCAGAAATTCATTCTGTGCAATTATTTAAATTTAGGCTAAAATTTTTCAATATCATCTTAAAGTGTGAAGCGTATGTCATTTTTAAAAGCATTTTTGTGGTTTGTAATGGCACTGTGGTCATCTATTTGCCAGAAGTGAAATTGCCCAGTTATGGGTTATGATTGTTCAACTTTGCAAAATGATGTCAAATTGTTTTCTGAAGTGGTTGCACCAGCTTATACTTCGGCCATCTGTCATGTCAAATCATGTATTTTGGTTGGCAGTGTTTGTGAGTTCTGGTTGGCCTATATCCTCTCCAACGCTTGTTATTGCCACACTTCTTACTATTTGCCAATCAGATGGGTATGAAGTGATGGATCATGGTGGTTTTAATTTGCATTTCTTCAATTGTCAATGAGTTTGAGTGTCTTTTTGTAAGTTTCTGGACCTTCTGTTTCCCTTTAGTGAAATGGCTTATCTTTTACCCATTTTACTATTGGGTTGACTTTTAAAACGAATAAACTGTAACACCGATCCTTTATTGATTATATGCACTGTAGATACCTTCTGTGGCCTGTCATGTCACTGTGGCGTGTTCTGGTGAACAGAAGTTCTTAATTTTAACGTAATCTAATTGGAAGCTTCCTCCAGCCCTGGGATTGCTTTCTTTTTAGAAGTTTTAAAATGATGTTCACATTTAAGGTCATAATCCCTCCGGTACTGATTTTGTGCATGGTGTGAGGTAGTGACGCCCATTCGTTCCCCCCAAGTGGCTCCAGTTGTCCTCATGCCATCTGCTGAGCCACCCTCTGTTCACCAGGGATCTGCTGAACCACCCCTTTGACATGTTCACTCTCTCTGTGCACGGGTTTGTTTCTTGCTCACCTTCCAGTGCCACCTGTCCAGTTGTCTGCCTCTGTGTTGAGACCACAGACATAATTACTAATGCTATCGCTTTACCAGAACTCTTCATATCTGGGGGTGGGGGGCGGGGAGGGGCGGCGGATTCGAGTCTCAGCTGTTCTTGGATCTTTGTTCTTGTTTTAAGAATCAGCTTGTCACGTGACATGAAAAACTTTGGGAATGAATTGGAATTGATTGAATCAGTTTGGGGAGAATTGAAATCTTTAAGATTTTGAACCTTCCTGTTTGAGAACGTGGTATGTATTTATTTCTATTTATTTAGGTTTTTAATGTCTTTTAATAGAGTTTTGTGATTTTTCTCCACCCACATCTAACCGTTTCTAAATGTTGATACCAATATTTCTAGTAGTTTTGTTGCTATTATACATGGTGTTGGTTTTTAAGATTTTTCTGTTTATCGTTAGTAAATAGAAATTTAATGGATTTTTAAATATTGATCTTTAACCGTTCATTTGATAAACTCTTATTTCTAGCATACTTTCTGTAATTCTTTTGGGTTTCTCTGTATATAATTATATTATTTGCAAATAGTGACACTTTTGGTTCTTTCACTTTTCCCTTTAATTTTTTTTCTTGTCATAATACTCTGGCATACTTTTAGAGCTATGTTCAATGGAAGTGATAATGGTTGTTCATTTGAAGTGATTATAGTGGGTATACATGTCTCATGCCTAATTTTAAAGGGAATGCTGCCCCATAAAAAATAGTGTGTGTTATAAGTTTTTGTACATACTCCTTACTAAGTTAGGGAAGCCTTGGTTTGCGATTTTGTCGTATGGTTTGCTGCATCTGTTGAAGAGATCTTGAGTGGTTTTCTCCTTTAATCTGTTAAGTGTGATGGAAATCAATTAACACATTTTAAAATTCTTAATTCTCACATTCTTTCCGTAGATAAGCACAAATTGGTCTTGTTGAATTTTTGCAGAACTACTGGATTGAGGTTGCTAATGTTTTACTTAGGATGTTTGTATTTGTTTGTGAATGAAATCACCTGTCATTTTTCTTTATTGACTGTCTTGTGTGGCTTTGGTAATAAGGGTATCCATGCCTTACACCAGGTAGCGAGGAAGCCCTCCTTTTCTGTTCCGGAGCCAGCTTGAATTAGAGTGATTTGTTTCTTGAAAGTTTGGTGGATGTTACCTGTAAGAGCAGGTGTTTTCTTTGTGGAAGGATTGTAAATTGTTAATGATTTAGTAGGAATTGACAGTTGAATAGTAATAGGATTTAAGATTTTCTGTTTCTTGTAGTCAATTTGGTAAGTTTTAGAAATTTGTTTTTTAACAAAAATTTCAAGTTTATTGGCATCAAGTTCATGTTGCTGTCTTAATTCCCTTTAACTCTGTTTTATCTGTATGTTCTATTCTCTCATTTTGATTTTTGTTTTTGTGTGACTTCTCTTTTTTCTTGAGTAGTCTTACCGAAAGTTTGCCTGTTCTTTTAATTTTGGCAAAGGATTAATTTTTAGCACATTATGTTTCTGGGTTTCTTTTAGCTCATATCTTTTTATTTGTTTTCATCCTTTTTCTTTTCTTGGGTTTATTCTTAAATTATTTTTTAACTTAAATTGCATGCTTATTAATTTTCAGGCATTCCTTTTCTGAGTATAAGCATATAAAGCTATAAATTTTTTCAAAGTTCATTTTTGCTTTATCTCATGGTTTAATTCACAGTGTTTTCATTAGCTTTCAAGTCCAAGTATTTTTAAAATTTCCAGTTTGATTTCTTTTCTTCTTTGACTTACATGTTTTTTAATCTTTTAAAATTTTCAAATTTATCCTACATTAACTTTTTTTACTCATTTCTTAATTGTCGTAAGAGAATGTAATGTGTATTTTGTCCGTAAAAGATTTTTTTGTTTGCCCTTGCTTTATGGTCCTGTACATATGTGTGCTTGTGAAGAGTATGTATTCTCTAATTGTTGTATATCCAGTAGGTCAAGCTTGTGAATTGTGTTGTTTGGATCATCTTTGTTACTTTTTGTTTGTTTGACCTGGATTAACTGAGAGAGCTGTGTTGCAGTATCCTTTGTTACCTTCTAACAGACTTCCTGTAGTTCTAACATTTTTTCTTCTTACATATTTTGAGGCTATTTGATTACATTCACGCAAGCTTACTGTTTTCCTAGTGGATTGAACTTTCTGTACTATAGTGTGATCGTTTCCATGTCTAATTTTGATTTTTATCCTTAGGGTCTGTTTTGTTTAGCCCATCTTTCTTTAGGTGATAATTTTCATGGAATAGCCTTTTCCTTCATTTTACTGTCAGTTTTTTTAAAAAAATCTTTATATTTTAGATATTTCTTATAAAGATCATATTACCTGATTTTTCCTATAATTCACTCAATTTATGTCTTTTATTTGTTTTTATTTTTTCAATCCTCATTCGAGGATATGTTTTATTGATTTTAGAGAGAGAGGGAGGGAGAGAGTAGAGAGAAACGTTGATGCTTCCCATAGGCGTCCTGGACCAGGTATTGAACCTGCCATCTAGGTATGTGCCCTGACCGGGGATTGAACCCACAGCCTTTTGGTATATGGGGACAATGCTCCAACCAACTGAGCCACCTGGCAGCGAGGGCTGTTTGGTATTTTTAAGGAGTCAGTTCAGGTTTCTTGGTGGTCAGCCCAGTTTTTATCTAAAATGACTTTGAGTCTTCTTCCTGAGAGATAACTTTGAGGGGTATCACATTCTCGGTTGATTATTTTCTTTCTGCATAGCGAAGGTATTTTACATGTGAAATCTGCTGCCAGTTTTACGTATGCTTCTTTGAAGAAAACATTCTTTTTCTTTTGGCTTCCGCCTTTGACGTTGTGACATTTCACCTGTGGGACTAGGTGGAGGTCACTTTTCCTGTACCCTCTTTTGGACCCATGTTTTCTGATTCTGAATTTTGTCTTTCTTGAGGTGCGGAAGACCCAGAGCCCTGTGTTTTTTAAGTATTGTCTCTTTTTGATTTTACCTATTCTCTCCTTCTGGAAATTTAACTGGATATATGTATATGTATTAGACTGTTTGAAGATCACTTTTTATCTTCTATCTTTTTATTTCCTTGTCTTTTTACCAGAATTTACAGTGCTGGGTAATTACTCACGTACATCTTCTAGCTCATAACTTATTTCTTCACCTGTGAGAAGTTTTCTCTTTAACCAATCTATTTTTACTTTTAACAACTATATTTTAAATTTCAAAAAGTTTCACTTAGCTCTTTTTAAGGAATACCCAGTCATTTTTTTTACAGTCTAACGTTGTTTGTTGAGCTTTTGGACGCATTGGTGTTCTGCAGACGGCCTCTGGTAAGCCCAGTGTCTGAGGTACTTAGGAGTCTAGATTTATTGCTCGTTCTTCCTCTCTTGTGTCTCCTGCATGGTGGATTATCACCTCCTGTGCTTTGATTATGGACTCCTATCTTATCTTTCTGTGGGAATCTTGAGAGCCTGCTGGGGGATGCGTTTCTTCTGGTCGGGTTTGTGTCAGCCCTGGCAGAGGCTGGGGAGTTGTATCAGCTCTGGCTGGAGCCGAGGAGTTTTTGTGGGACTGTTTTTTCAGTTCCCTCCCTTTGTTTCTGGTCCAGGCTCAGTGTCCTGATCCAGCTACTGCTCTTGACATTACTCTGTGTAGCTCTTGACTTTCAGGTTTAGTTCTAGTGAGAGGTTTGTTGTTTTTGTGGGGGAAAGGATGGTTTTGACTGTTCTTGTTTCTATGAACTCAGCAAAATTAAAAAAAATTTTAAATCTAGGACCTACTTTTCTTTTTTTTGGCAGTGGTAGAGTCCCCTTTGGGTACATCATAATTGATGGGATTAGAAGTCATTTACTTTAATATTTAATTTTATTAGTATATTTTAGTTTGTATTGGGAAAAAAATGATGTCCTACCAAGTGTAAGATTTCTTGGCAATACCAAATTTTCTATTAAAACAAGTTTAACTCTAAGTTAAAAGCTGAGTTATTCTCAAGAAAAATATAAATAGCAGTACAAGTGGCAAGTGGACTAGGCAAAGTTTTCTTTGGGGAATGTGAATAAAAAATTGGGGAGCCACTGAGCTAGGGGATCGAGGTGGGTAGGGGGCACAGTGTACCCTGTGGACCCAGGTGACCCTACAGTGTGAAAACTGCTGTCCGAGGATACGGGCAGGGTGCTCTGGGCTTACAGAGAAGAGGTGTCTGCAGAAGTAAGTCGGGTGGTAGCGAGTGGGTCAGGAAAGGCTTCCCGGAGTCCGGTCCTAGGGTGGGCGGGCGTCGGGTGGCTGCAGCATAAGCTTTGTTCAGGAGGGAGGCAGCCGTGCATGGTCGGCTTGTAAGTTGAGTGCCACGGAGTGACTAAAGGCAGAAGACCTGTGCGTAGTAGGGAGCTTAAACTTCATTCTGAAGACGGAGGGAAGCTGTGGGGTGATTTTGAGCAGTAAAATGCTATGAGGAGGGTTTTAGAGGATGCCAAGATTGAGGCATGTCACCGGTCAAGGGCCTGCTTCTTAAATTCGCTCACTGGAGAAGAAAGATGGAGCTACAGCTGCGGCAGCGGCCCTGAGTATAAAGGGGTGTACGTGCGCTGACTTTAGATTTCTTAGAGGAGTAGAAGTGACAAGACTTCATGGTCATTGGGTAGAAATGTTCACCCCAGGTTTCTGATTTGTTAAGTTTGTTTTTGCACTGATTGAATCTGAGAGGCTAGTGGGACGTGTTGGTTAAATCCAGTAGCAGTTGATGAGGTCTGGAAGTCATGAGATCCAACCCAGTCTGGAGAGATTTGAGAGCCCCGAGCCTTTGGACATTTCAGCCATCAGGTGCTGTTGTGTACGATGAGGTGATCTAAAGTGGTTTATAGATAAACACAATGTTTTGAATTGTTAGGAATTTAATGTATTTGAAAAGCGTAAGTTGTACCTCAAACCTATGACATCATGGATATTATCACTTAGTCAAGTGAGACGAGTAAAAGAGAAATATCAAGTAAATATCAGGTAAATAAAAATACATGTTATGTATGGAAATGGCAAAAATCATGGTGAAGCTATGAAGTGATGGGAGTTCAGAAGGTGCTGTTTTCAGCCATGGGTGTGGTGGGTAAGAACACCCAAGGAGAGAGTGAGCATGAAAGAAAAGGGAGTTGGCACTTGGGTGGCGGGGAGCGGACCAGAAGAGCCCACGGAGACGAGGAAGAGCAGCCAGAAGAATAGGAGGAGCCAGAAGATGGTTTCCGGAGCCCCGAGGAAGAGTTCTGAAAAGGAGGGAGTGGTCCACAGCGGCAAGTAAGTCGTAAGCTGAAAGGTGCTCTTCGGACTTAGCAGTTAAGGTAGACCATTTAGCTGGAAGCGTCCAAACAATGGATTTTTAGAAATGCAGTTCACATTTATAGCAGTTCCTATCCGTCATGTACTATTCTAAGCACTTTAAGTGTGTGGACTGGTTGGCTCATCAGGTAGGTCGTGCTGCTGTCTTCATTTGACACACGAGGAGGCGGAAGCACAGGGAGGTTGCGGAACTTGCCCAAGATCACACGCTCAGGAAACGGGAGAGCCGGGACTCAGGCCCGTGCAGTCTGGTTCCAGAGTCCGTGCTCCTAACCGCTGTGGCAGATCGCCTCTCTGGTTGAAACAAAGTAGAGCATAAAAATTACAGTGACGTGTCATGACAGTAGAGTCGGCATGGGGCGCTGAGATCTGCCGGGCTGTTAGGTCACCTGGCGCAGTCCGCCGGGTGTGAGCCCGTGGACTGTGTTGGAACCGAGGCCATGTCAGTGATACGTGGGCTGTGACAGACAGTTCTTGGCTCTTTCTGTATTTACATACAAAAAAACGTTTGTAAGGCAGATGGGCTTAAAAGTGAATTTCCCAGGATAGCGTATGTCCCATATTATGCGCCATACTTGGGGTGCTAAAATGTCTTTATTTTTTCCAGTCTTTGTTCACTTTGGGAGTTACATTCTAAACTCTGGAAATGTTGTTCATCTAGAACAGGCCAGGTTGCAGACATATACCATCAGTCTGTTGTGGCAGGCCACGGACGACCTTGTTGGAAGTGGAACCCAGTTGTGGGAAACAGCGAAGGAGAAGGGAGGCTTTGAATGGGAGAAAGGGGAAGAGTTCTTGATGAGGTTGAAGGATGTCGGGGGCAGGAGCTGGGCAGCCACGAGCTGTAGCGACTCTTGGCTGTGGTCAGAGGAGCTCTTCGGAGTTAGGCTTGTGGGCAGTGACCTGAGGCCTGGCCTTGGGAAGGAAGCTCCTGGGTGAGGTGGGCCGTGAAGTCCCCATTTTAGCTGAGGAGCAAGTTGAACTGCAAAACTGGGGTCTTGAATGGGTCGCCCACATGGGCCTCAATGTGTGTGGGATGACGATAGAATTCGGAGGAAGGGGACGTTCTGAACTAGTTGTCAGTGACCTTGAACAGGACAGCCGCCGGAAGGTAATGAGGTGGCAATGGCGAGGAAAAGCAGGCGTAATAAAAGGCAGTGTTTGAGAGGAGAGGCCCTGGAATCAGAGGACCTGGGCTGGATCCTTCCTAGCTTGCTGACCTTGAGTAAATTACTTAATTTTCCCAAGCCTGTTTCTTATCTGTACAGTGGAGATGATGGTAATTGAACCTGAGAAAACTTGCTGTGAGGATTGAGGTGAAGCATCCGAAACGCTTGGAACAACGTGTGACAAATAGTACAGATAGTTTGCTAGGAAGAGTGTTAATGATCTTCACTTCTGTTATTGCGAGGTCTTCATAGAGCAACTTGAACATAAGAAGAAGGATTAATTAAAGAAACATTTCTGTTTCAAAACCCGATAATGGTTTTGCTTAGGAAAACAGAAAGCTGGTTTTTGCCCTAACAATAGTGGAACACTAGTGGTGAAGCAAAAACGTATTGAAAATGGTGTTAACAATGGTGCTGGTGACGATAGGAAACAAAGGCCGTTACCCGTGCAAGTTAGAGTGATAAAGTGCAGCATTTTCCAGTGATGTTTAGGTGGTGTAGCTTTTCTTTGATAGCTGTAAATCTCACTGGACTTTGTTTAAGGGGGAAAAAAGCAACTTAGTGTGAAACTCCAGCCCAAAGTCCTCTTTTCCCCCATTGAAATATTTTTCAAACGAGGTTGTTAACGTGAGGGTTTTTGCCCCCTTCGCGGTCTCGCGGTGCTGGCCGGCAGTGGCAGCTGGGAGAGTGTGGCAGCTGGGAGAGTGTCGGCACAGTGCTTGCTGAGGAGGAGAGGGAAGGTCCGGAGGCGCTGTGGGGAATTGGGAGCTGCGCACTCACCCCGTGCCCTTCAGCTGGGCCCCGCCGCCCCAGGCCCGCGCACTGCGCACTGCCGGGCGGGTAGGAGGATGTGAGCAGCGGATAGGAACCTGTTGTCTCGGTGGAGTCAGGATTCGGTTCCTCCCAGGAGGCTGAGAATGTAGCGGTCAGCGTGTGGCGAAGTAACGTGTGTCACGGGATGCAGTAAAAGCAGATGGTGCAAAGGGCCAGTGGTGGGAAGATGTCTTGTTCATTCAGCAAACACATTGGAGGGCTTATCATGTGCTAGGCAGGTGCAAAGATGAGTAAGATGCCCTTAATTGTCCTCCAACTGAAGGAGATGTGTACACGGATATATACAGAGTAGAGACGGTGACTCTTTGAATTCGAGGAAAAGAAGAAATAGAGTAAATTGACGTTTGAAGAGAGTCAGGGTGAACGAATTGTAGAGTGAAAACAAGAACCTTTCAGAGAGCTCAGTGTTCTTGCTGGAGTTACTTCCTTGGGGCGTGAGTTCCAGGTATTTTTCTAAAATGCTGTGGAAGCCAGGAAAGCTGCTTCTCACATCTCGAGTGGTTGAGTCACTGATTCGGGTTTCCGTTGTCCCCTTAAGGTGGTGCACCATGGGCGATCTCGCCCTGGGGGAGTGCACCGTGGCAGAGGGCGCCTGGCGAGAAGATTGCCCTTCCGGGGACGATTGTGCCTTTGCTCCTGAATTTGTGTCCAATGATTATGTTCGTCTGACTCAACTTTACTGTGGTGGGGTGGTAAGTAGATCAGTTAACTTTTTGTTTTTAACATCCTGTCTTAAATCATTTTAAAAATTGAGATAGAATTGGCGTATAACATTATATGGTTTCAGGTGTACAACATGATTCAACATAATGTATATATGTGAAATCACCACATTAAGTCTAGCGAACATCCATCACGACACAGTTAAAATTGGTGGTTTTTTTGCTTGTGATGAGATTTTTGGGATTTAAAGATTTTTGATTCAGGGCTCTTGAGTTTAGGTGTTTTATGGTACATGAGGTTTTCCAGGGAGGTATACATGCTTTTGAAGAGGGGATTTCAGAAGGGGGAGGGAAGCAGCAGGTCAGCAACCGAACCTGCGGCACCGGCGCGGGAGGGCCGCCCGGGTGTGTCTGCCCGCGGCGAGGAGCCCGGAACCACGGGAGGAGGCGGGAGACTCGCTGGCCGAGGGTGCTGTGTTCAGAGTTTATAAATAGATGTGCACTGAAATTTTTAGTTGAGTACCAATACTTCTAATATTAAAAATCAAAACCTGAACTTTTGCATCTTATCAGACACAACTCAAAAGATTTCTCTTTTTTTCCTAGGGTAGACAATATAAAGATTATGCCAAAAGCGAGAGAAACTTAGGTGAGTGCACTGGTATTTTAACTTTAATTTGTTGAAAGACTATCAGGGGAAGTTCATCCTTTCACAGCAACATAACAGACTTAATGTAGCTCTTAAAAATTTGTTCTTACTATTGTTTTTCATTAGAAATCAAAACCTTTCTTTGTTAAAAGAGAGTTTTAACTAACACTTAAATATTCTTTACATTTAACGAGTTAAAATATTTTATCCATTCATTTCTTACCTTTCCATAACCATTTTTGCTTTTTCCCTATTAACACTATTGATTCATTCCAAACGGAGGTAAAAAATATTAATTAAAATTTTTTTTTAATTAAGAATTAGACATCTGCAATATGTGGTGTAGTAAGCCAACTTCTGTCCTGCAAGATTACTGTGACACCATTAAAATACACATCTTCTGGCCACTTCTGTTTCAACATCAACACAGCTCCGTCATATCACGGTTGTACCCCTGTGTGGAGACGGCGTAAGTTTCCGTGTTGTTTATTCTGTATGAATTGTGCAAATTATTTTGCACTGCATGTTGCCCAGTCCAGGGGAAGGCCGTGTCTCATGCTGGCATACCACCCAATTGGACTCTCATTTAATAGAGTGGAAAAGTTAATATACTCGGGATTTGGGTGTATTTGAATGTATAATCATGATAACATTACATAGAATAAGTGAAATTCTGAAGAGCATTAGATGGTAAATTGGAAACTGAGGAAAAATTAATATGCATGTTTATAAATGTCAGCATTGTATACAAGAGAGGAAAAGGTATAGTATTTTAGCCACTTAAACAACTTATTATTACCTAAACTGAAGAAACGGAGAACTTAGAGGTGTAACATAACCTAAGAGTTAAGTATAAAATGTAATGAATTTTTATAAGTATGAGTACCTAATCTTTTAAAAAATAAATTTGTCTTTAAGCAATTTTCGGGCCTCTGAGATAAGTTTGAAGCAATTACAACATCTTGAGTTGATGGAAGATATCGTGGACTTGGGGAGGAAAGTCGTGGTAAGTGGCAGAACACAGCTCTTTCCTCCTCTGTTTAAAGACGCGGAGGAGTCCCCTGGGGCCAGGGCCGTGGCGCTGACTCGCAGCGGAACAGTTGCGGTCCCGGTCAGCCGGGGGGTGCCCGCCCTCCCTGAGCCGTGCTGTGTCTCTGAGAGATCGGGTGGGCAGCTCTTTTCGTGGGCTCGGCATGACATGTTGGAAACCAGGACTGCCCGCTGTCAGTCAAGGATAGGAACTGGAATTTGTGACGCGCGACAGTGTGCTCCTGGCGTGCAGCAACCCTCGTCCGAGGTCCTGAAAGCGAGGGTTCAGTCTTGCAACGTCAGGTCCGCACCGTCAGCACCCTGGCCACGAGCGCTTCCTGTGGCGACCTCTGTCCCCTTCTGCTTGCGGAGGTGCCCTCCTGCCACCCTGAGGGTTGGGGTTTTCCCATTGAGAACCATGAGATTCTTTCTCTTACTCGAGTTGATTATGGAGCCAGGTGTTTTTCTTGGTATTCCTCTGACTGTAAACTTAAATTTAGAAAGGGCACTTAATGCATATTTCCTCCTGGTAATCCTTTGCAGTAACGTATATCAGCCAGTGCATTTTTATTTAAAAAATCTAGCTTTAAAATCCATGCATCTAGAAGTTACACTAAATCATTTTATCATTAGAACTCAGTGTAAGACTATTTCTGAATTCTGGCTTTCAGGTCCTTAAGAGGTAAATTACGCATGATACTGTGTGTGAGCAGTGGACTGCTATGTATATGTGTATTCCTAAAGTGTAGTATTTTGTTGTGCATCGGGAAAGTCAAGTATAATTGACTGAAGAAGGAAAAAAAATGTCTTACACTTTTTTTTCCCCCCACAGAATGACTCATTCTTCATTGGCGGCTTACTGAGGATTGGTTATAAAATAGAAAACGTAAGTGTTAAACCCAGGAATCCAGCACAGGCTCTGTGAGGAAACGGCAGTTGCCCCACTGCTCCGCGCCCACGTCTGGGTCCGCAGAGTCGCTGTTTCATGTGTAGCACCTAGTATAGCTTAGAGCCTCTTTGACAAGTTGGTTCTTTGTTTTCCTCTTTTACTTTACCTGGCATGTTCTCACAAATGGAATTCTTTGGTCCCTGATATGAACATGTTTTGCTGTATAATTATGAAAACACCTTCATACAGTGATAAACCAATTTTTAATGCTGTCAGTGACAGACGTCTACATATTTCCCTTCAGCCTGACAGCAGCATCGATAGCTCCACTGTGTAATTTCTGGTCATTTCGGACACTAGAAGTATGAATGATGGTTCTGTGAAGATCCTTGCACGGGGGGCTCATTTGCCTAGCCGTGCCTCCTCTTGTTACCTTCTGTTCTTCTGTTTGCCACAGACCATTTAAAATACATAATCCCCTTGGGGAACCTTACTTTTTACCTTTAACATGGAGGTTGGGATGGAAGTCCTAGTTGAGGCGAGACCCGAAACCCCGTGTTTACCTTGTGTTGCTGCGTTCTTTCCCGCCCAGAGCTGCCTCAGGCTGGGTGCTCGACCTTAGTGGTCAGGACTGGAGTCATTGCAGAAGCATGTGGAGCCCTGAGGGGGGCCCGGGCAGCCTGCAGGTGTCACCCGCATGAGCACTTGGTAGCTGTTACCTTGTACACTGGGGTCCAGCTGTTCTAGGCTCTGTGCTAGAGTAATGCAAATATGGGGTTACAGGTTTTGTCTTAAGAATCTGAAATACTATATAAGATAAATTTATAATGCCACCTGTGAATTTAGAATTAATACCTAAATCACATTCTATATCCCTCTTTTTGAAACAGAAAATGTTGGCCATGGAAGAAGCTTTGAATTGGGTGAAATACACAGGCGATGTAGCAATTCTACATAAATTAGGAGCAGTTGACAATTGTTGGCCTATGTTAAGTATTTTCTTTACTGAATGTAAGTATAAATGCTTTAAATTGTTACTTGACCAGTTTTTAAAAGTATTATTTGGGGAAATGGAATGTGTAGTTGTGATTTCTTATTTATCTTAGGGTTTTAAAAAGTGTTTTTCTCTGAGTAAGAGAAAAGCCTGCATAAAAGAACTTTAACTTTGTAGTGAGTTTTATTCTGTATTTCCTATCTTAATGGTTTATCTGACATTATATATTTAAAAATTTTACCTAATAGATGTCCTAAGTTATTACATATAAAACCCCAAAGAAAGAGACCACACCTGGGGCGTCATGTATTTCTCAAGGGAAATGAGTAATAGAGCAAAGATTATAGTTTTCATTTCCCTGATGAATCTATTATTCTTCTGTATGATGAAACTGCTTATGTATATATTTCACTTTGTGGAATACTTTTCCCTAAAGCATTTGAATGTTAGCAGTGTTTTTATAGTATAGTTGTAGGAATCTTGAAGCGGAATATTTGGCTCCTCAGTAGATGTTGATAAGAATTTGCCATTTCCAGTGCGAAGGCAAATTTTGCACTACTGATCTCATTATTAGAAATCGAGCTTACACACGAAGACAGGCTCTTCTGATGGGTTTTCTAGACACTGGACTATACTGAGGTGGGTCTCCCTGTTCTCAAAACCTTTACTGTAATTACAGGCTAGGTTTAATGGTAGAAGCAGAGGAGCAGCGTCATGTATTAGGCACGCACGTGGACTCACCTTTGACCCATCTCTGTTCGCTCCTGTGTCATATCCCTGCAAGACAGCAGTTGTTATCCCTATTTTAGAAATGAACAAACTAATAAAGGTTAAGTGACATTTCTGCAGTCTAGTAAGTAGTAGTAGAAGCTAGATGAGAAGTCAAGTCTCTTCGATCATAGAGGCCAGATTTTCATTTTATAATCTTATTCTGTCCCTTAGTGTTGTTTTTACTTTATTTGGTGAGTTCATAAATGCTTCTTTGAATCTTAAGTTTTAGGTGCTCCTTTTTCCATTGAAATAAATGTGTTTGTCTAGAGGTATAATACATTTTTGTTGCAATAAAATTATCATTTACCACTTCAGAAAAATCTTTATTGTATAGTCAGGTTAAAATACAGAAAATGAGGTCTGGTAAATTTTGATGATTATTTGCAGCATTTTAATTAGTTTATTAAATTTATGTAAGAGTAGTTTTTCAAATAGACCCATTTGAACATTTTATTCACGGAGTCAAATGTTGAATTAGGACATTTAAATTCTTTATTTGTTATATTAAATACTGTGTAGAAAGTTATTTCACAGGATTTTTTTTTCAGGCATTTTTATTGAACTGTGTGCCAGGGAACCATAGGTGCTCAAATATATTTGTTGAATTGACGTGAGTAATTATGAAGGCCATTGGGAGCATATTACGATGGAGCACTTGCTGTAACTGCAATTAGGACGAGTGTAGTAATACACAGGCGCTTTTTCAGTGCTCCAGATTAGATCCATAGCAAGCAATGAATCGAACGTTATCAGTTATTTATTTTCAAATATATTATTTGATACATGTAAAAGATGATAAGGAACATGTTATTTAGAAAGTATAGTAAAATAATGAACTTTATGGACTCACCTAACCTAAGAATTAGAACATTAACAATAATGTTTTTTTTAAAACAAATGTTCTCTTACTCTCTCCTAAAAATAAAATATAGACAAGTATCACATAACTAAAGTTGTGACAGAAAACTGCAATATTCTTGAAGAATTTAAAAGACAAAATTGTGCAGAATGTTTAGAGGTGAGAATAAATATTTACTTGTAAGTATATTTTAAGATTTGCTTGTTAGAGCTTTTATTAACATTCTGAAATTTCAATACAACTGCTATTCGACAAGATATAAGGAACTACCATAAGATTCAACAACATGTTTGAGGGAAATTTTATTAAATTTTTATTGAAATATTTTTATTTTGGAGGGGGAAAACAACATCTTGATCAGAATTTTCTAATGTTACAGACTTTAAAAGAGTTAATCAAAAATTGAAATTTGATTTTTTAAATTAAAAGGCATTTAATTAGTTGAATAAGTACAGTTTTCTTTGGTAAGGGCTTTATTGAGATGTAATTCACATGCCATACGATGGACTCATTTATACGAATTTGCCATACAATGGACTCCTTTAGACGAATTTAACTAAAATTTTTAAAACAGACTAAGAAAGTAATGTTCTGTTGAATTCTCTAAAGCCATTGATGTGATCCAATTTATTTTAATGTGTTTATTTTGAATATTTGAGTGTTTGAAATGAAGTTTTAGTTCTATTTGGAGGATTTTCTTTTGATTTCATTCTTGCTCACTTTGTTGCCTCTTTATTTTGGCAATTAATCTACTCAGTATCACCTATATGTGTTACTGATTTATGTATTGCTTTGTAAGCACTCAGGTTTATTGAACAATGTCACATTTTCTAACCTAAAATTAGAGTTTTACCTCGCACCTGTTTTCCCCTCCATACGGCAGGCTTATTGCCGAGGGCTGTGTAAGTGGTCCTGCCGAGTGCTGGGCACAGAGGGGTTGGTTGGCAGCAGTTACTTACAATGTGATGGCTTTGTTTACTTTTTAATATTCTTTTAACAAAGCTACTGTTGAGTCATTAGAGACAGGTTTCTTTAACTATACATACCAAAATATTGAGTATTGCATTCTCATTTTCTGTATAAATAATTCCCCAGGTTATTTCTGATATCAAAGATAAAACCCAGGCCCATTTTTCTTAGGTATAGGGGTTCTTGATTGTCTTTGCAGTTAATTGATGGGTCTTCTTTCACCTTGGTTTCCCAGCAAGGAGAAATAATGAAAATAAAAGGAAATGAAGAGTTTTCCAAAGAAAGATTTGATGTAGCTATTATCTATTACAGCAGAGCCATTGAATATAGGTAAGAGATAAACAAAACAATGAAATCTTTTTTATGTGGCAGATTGAGTTAGAATGCTAGTCAGGTAAAAAAAAAGATGAGGAATTGGAGAATATCTTTAACTTGCTATGCAGAATAGAGTTTCTCACCCATAGGCATTAGAGCATTTGAGATGGTCTGAGTCTATGAACTCAATCAAATAGTAAAACTCAAGCAAGTCAGGCAAAATTATGAATTTGGTTCTGCCTGCCTTCGTTTTCTTTCAAGCTGTCTATACAGACTTTTGTTCTTTCTTGTTTTCATTTTGCACTGAACCAATTACTTTCAAATTATTAACTGATAGTTACTAATACATAAGAATGTCACCCATTCAGGGATTTTTGCTTTCTAAGAAGGAACTTATAAACGACAATAGTTGGAATTATTGAGAGAACCTAAGCGTCCTCTCTCCCTCGCCTGTTATTTGCCCGGCTGCTGGAATTTGGTAGCATTTCTGCCGTCCCTCGCGTAGCTTCTGGAACATCTCAGCGGGGAGCCCTAACGCTGCGGCAGCCGTGGGAGGTGCGCTGTGGAAGGCTCCTCTCTTTCGTGCCTCCCAGTCTCCGCGGGGACGAGTTAGTACAGGGAAAGTGGCTGCCTGGAGGGCTGCCGCTCGGTTCTCCGGAGGAGGGGGCGGAGGAAAAGGGCAGCAGGGCCCCCACCCCTGGTCAGGAGGAGGGCGGAATTTGCAGCGAAGCTGCGATGCAACCTTTAGAGTCTGCAGGCTGCCTTTGAGTTCTCTGTCCGAGCGGCACAGTCCTGACTTGCACGCGTGATCCTGCCCTCTGCAGTTAACGCACGCTTGTAGTTCTGGCTTTTTAATATGTCTCCTTTCATCCTCACAACAGCTCTACTAGGTAGGCAAAAATAGTGGAGATCTTCCTAGTGGATACAGGGAGGTTGAAGGTGATTTGAACAGCTACTCAGGTAGAAAGTGAGGGGGCCAGGGCTGAGCCGGTTAGGGCTCCAAGTCCCGAGTTCTTTCTGCCCTGCTGCACAGGTGTAAAGTTTCTGAAAAATTTTTCATGCCTTATGTTTTCTGTATGATTTTTATTTGCTTCATGTATAATTTGTTTTACTGACTAAACATTATTTCTTTTAAAGTCCTGAAAATCACCTTTTTTACGGTAACCGAGCTCTTTGTTTTCTTCGCACTAGACAGTTCAGGTAAGTTGTTGACGTACCCCAGTCACTGACTGTTATGCTATGTACCCTTGGTGGAGGAATATTTGTTGTGCAGGTATGCTTCAGTAGTTTTTTTTTCCAGAAGTAGTTAAATGGTTTAAAAAGAGCTCAGGAAGCTCTGTGTAGTAATGGCAGTGAAAGCTGTAGCTATTCTGATTGTGTGGATAACATGTTATGCATTATTTTAAGTACTTTACATATGCTACTTAATTATCACAACACCCTTAATAGATAGCGAATGTTATTCTGCACATTTATATTTTGACAAACTCATACCATTAGTAAGGAGTGATGTCGAGATTTGAACACAAATTTTACCTGATGAAGTCAAAGTGTGTTTATAGCACCTATGATATATTACCTTCTTTTGCTCTATTAATTAGTTCTATAGTTCTGGAAGAAGAATTTTTGTTGTGTTTGTTTTCTCCATCCTTGGATGAAATAATTAAGTAAATGTCTTTCATAAGTGAAAAAAGAAGTTTAATGGTTTAACTATGGAAGTAAAATCATAATTCATTCTTAGTTCCTAATGTCGAACTGAGCTTTTATTATCTGAGAAAGATTGTTAACACTATACCATGGTTTTGTTTTCCCTCAGTTTAAAAACCTTAGAACATAAATTACAGGCATTGATATTGAACAGAGTAGGTTGTTCTATTCAGTTATGTCCTGCCTTACTGTAAGGTTAGGCTGGCTTCAAGAATACGTCCACTCAGTAGAAGAGTATTAAAAACAAAACAAACGGAAAAACCAGGTTAGAGCCTGGGATCCTCATAATAAATAGGTATAAGTTCCTGCTTAGTTATTAATTATAATCAATATTGATTATAAACTTTAATGGTTAGTAATGATTAATACCCTTTCAACAGTGAGGTCAAAATAAAAAAAAATTGACAAGTTACCTAATTCTCGCCATGAAGAAAAAGGACACCAGTTATTTAGATGAAACTGTTTTTCTGGTGTGTGCTTCTGGGAGAAATTTTTTACATGGTTTACAAGTGATACAAATTGAGAGATAGAGAGTAGAGAAGAACCTCAGCAATATCCTGTTCATTTAAAAACAAACAAACAAACAAAAGAAACCTCCCTGAAAGTGCTCTCTGCACAATTTCTGTGAGGTTTTCTCGTGAAAGCAGTCAGTGCTGGTTGCATTTCAGTGAAACTGCTTATGTTGAGATGTGAGAGGGTGGGAGTGGGGAAGATAATATATGCCATGTTTGTAGCTTTTACCAATAACATTTATTATGTTTTTCTTTTATCATAAACTGAAAATATTCTCAAGGTAGAAAATTTGGAATATACAGGAGTTTAAAAAGAAAATAATCACCAGTAACCCTCCCACCTTGGAGACTATCACTGTGTTAGTTATGCAGCTTGGAGAGGGCTAAGCCGTGGCTGGATGAGCGAGGCTACCTCATTGGAGCAGGGGGTGGGGGGCCCTGGACGCAGTCTCCACTGTTCTAACAGGGAATGAGCTGTAAAGGTCTTTAAGCTATTGCCTCTGGTTAGGTGCGGAATTGCAGATTCCTGTGCTGTTTGAAGGTGAACCTGTATGCTTTCAACATGAGCAAATTGGCAGCTTGGCTAGCTTCTTGGGAAAATTGAGGCGCCTGATCTGAAACCTTGAGTGGGCAGAAGGTCACTCACTCTGCATAGGGGAGGCCCAAGAGTTGAGACACAGGCCAGGGTGTTCTGCCCTCTTCGGTGAGTGTTGAATGCTAGACACTCAGGGGGAGCCTCCTCAGACCCCACTGCAAAGGGGGTCCATCAAAGTAAAAGTACAGAAGCCAGGTGTCCTGGTGAGGTCAAGGCCAAGAGCAGGGTTGTGCATCCACGGTTGTGCATCCATCCTTGTGCCTCCTTCCTGATGGTCTAGCTTGTGGTTCTGCACCACTGAGGTTTTCACTAGAAGCAGGTCCGTATTTTCTTCTTAGGCAATAACCAATGTGTATTGGATGCCTCTTTAATGTCAGAATATGTAATGTCACACTGGTTTTTCTGGTGTTTCCCACCTTCTCGCGCATTGTTCACATGGCTTGCTCAGTAATGTAGTCATAATGTTTTCTGAATCCACAGTACGTAGAACTGCTGATCAAGAGAGTAGGCAATGTGACTTCAGAAAAGAACATGTTGCCAGAAGTGCCATTGACATAGAAGGACACGTGTCCTTTAGCTGAGTTAACCAAGGTTGAGATGTTTTGAAGCTCTCACATCTGAGGGTTGGTAGATCTGTCATGGGAATCTGGCTGAGCTCTGGGGACAGGTGGGGTTGTTTTGAGCACTTTACACATATTAATTCACAAAACCCTGACAACCCTGTGAGAGGTGGGTGCTCCTGTCTCTTTGTAAGTGAGGGGCCTGGAGAGGTTGATCAAGTGTCCTTGGACACTAGGCAGCCAGAATTTGACCCCAGGTGGCCTGGACTTAGTCTTTGTTAATTACCATAGGAAGGTGGTGATAGAATCTAAAGGAAGTGTAAAAGGTGGAAAAAAAAATGATTCATAAATAATAGTTCATAAATAATGATTATCCTTATAGGACACGCAGGTTAAAAACCTGCGTTCTCTTTTTCATACTCATCAGATTGGCAAAAATTTAAAAAACTCATTATACCAAATGTTTGAGAGGATGTGGAACAAAGGGAGCTCACTGTCGGCTGGAGGAAGTGCACCGTGGGGCCGTCGCGGTGGAGAGCAGCGTGGCAAGGCGAAGACCTGCGTCCTCTGCAGCCCCCGCCGGACTCAGACCTGTATCCAAGGAGAGCTGTGCACGGTGTCACTACAGCACTGCTTGTAAGAGTAAAGAATGGAAACAACCTAAATGTCCATCAGTAGGGGAATGGTTACATCAGTTATGGTATATGGTATATTCATACAATGGAATCCTATGCGGTTGTTAAAATGAATGCAGTGTTGAGTGAAAATGCACAAGTTGCAGAATGATTTCTGTGGTCTGATGCCACATGATATCATATATACATAATATTTACATAAACATACAATGTTTAAAAATATGCAAATTGATAAGCATCTTTATAATTAGTATGTATTTAAAATGCATAGGCACTCTAAACACCAAGGGAATGGCTGCCTCGGGAGGAGGGGACCGGGGTTGGAGACGGAGGAGTAGCACACTGTGTGTGTCACCTGTAGTGGGCCTCTCCCGAAAGGTCTGAAGCAAACATGGCAAAATGTTAAGATCTTGCAGAGCTGGTACATGGGTGTTCATCATGTTAATGTTAATCTCTGAACTTCTATGTGTGCTTGAAATATTTGACAAAAAGAACACAGTGTAATTAAAAGTGCACATGGTAAGATGAAAAAAGAAAAACAAAAACAGTGATCACTGAACATCAAGGATGAAACAAGAGAAAAATAACCTCAAAAGGAGAGACATACAAGGAAGACCAACGACGGGGAGCCGGAGGAGAAGGATGTGCGGGGAGAATGCTTCATTCGGAAATAGTCAGAGTGGTGGTGGCGGTTTTAAATGCCAGATAGTCGCACAGCCTGTAAACCAGACCAGCTTATGGTGGATGTAGGTGAGGCTGGGGAGCCAGTCGGAACCCTTATCACTCCTCCATGTCTGCAGGCCACTTGGGAATGTGGGGAATGGGGTTGCAGTGAAGGCGGGGCGGGTGGAAATACGCTGTCTCCTGTCACAGCCTGTCCCTACCGAATCCTGCAGCCTGAGGGGTGAGTGCCATGTATCTTAGAACCTGTGGCTTGTCTTCTGGAAGTTCACTTTTCAAATACAGTTTGGTAGTTAGAGGCCATTTTAGAATGGTAGATGTGACTGAAGTAATTCAAAATTTTCAGTTTACAGGAAAATCTAGAAAAAGGAATTAGGCACATTTGTAACTTCCATAGTTATAACAGTTATGCAAAGTATAAGATTAGGCTTTGCCTAGTTAGTGTTTAATTCATTCTTGGAATCAGATGTAGAAAAACCAAATTCTTTTTTGGGAATATGATAAACTGTAAGTGGAGAAAGGGACAGCTTAGTCTTGGATGTTTTTAAATTTGAATTAGAAAAATTATGGAGTTTTTAAACGATATTTATTTTGACCTTTTCATATTTAATTACCCATCATATAATACTCCCTTCTATTAGATCCCAACTTGTGATTGATAGCAGGCAGAGAGAGTTTAAATGACAATCTCTCTCCCTGCAAGTGTATCTGTTGGATAATTCCTGATAAATTTCTTCTACTTGGATGAAAGAGCATCTACAATTTTAATTCCAGAAACTAACTTTTGATTTAAAAATTATTCAGCCAATTGTATTGGCAGTGACTGATCATTATTAACATCTGAATCCTGTTTTTGTTGTGGTGTGAGAGCTAGAACCTTGGGGAGTAGTACTGCTATTTCTTTGTTGGTCTGGTCAGTCCCTGAAAGCAATAGTTAGTGGGGAAAGACCATAAGCCTTGTATGGCTTGCAGAGTTCCTGCATACTTACATATCATGGTTTGAGAGAGTCAGTAGCATTTCTTTGCCCTCCCAAGTCCAGAATCAGGAGATGGAAGCTGAAGACAGGCACATGGTGATCCAGTCTCCCCTCCGCTGCTCAGACAGTTGCTGGAGACCTGGGCCTGAAGTCTGGTAGCCCGAGGACTTCTTACTCACCCGTGGCTGCAGACACAAGTGGGCCGCAGGGACCCTCGTGAACTTCGAAGTGTGGAGGAAGAGGGAATCTGGTGTTAGGTCGGTGTTTAAGATGAGATCCCAAAGTGAGAAAAAGAGGAGGCTAAGCCACCTGTGATTAGTGCCTCTCCCCGCAGAATATAACCTCCCGCGAAAAGTTAGGGATGGCGGGGAGGAGAGAGATTAATTTAGCAAATCCACACGGAAGCTTGAGGAATGGGAAATAAGTTACCTACTAATATTTTAGGGCAAAAAATATTGTTTATGAGGAAATAGGTGCTGGGGCTTGAGAAAACACCGTCCCAGGAAACAGAGTGAATTGATCCGTTCTAGAGC